GCCATCTCTCTTAGTCTTCTCTAATTATCTCTTGTGGTTCTTCTTGTAGAATTGGTTATGACCTTTTTTTGGCTATTTTGTTCTCCGTGGGATGGCTGCATTAGCTTCCTTTCTGGGTTCCTAAGGAGCCAGTGGCTGGTGAGGGGTCTTCATCTTAACGCTATGGAGATGGCCACCGCCTCTTCTGCTCAAGGGGATGACAAGTATGCGGCACCAAGCAGGAATCAAAAGCCTGCGAAAACTGGTGTTGGGCATCTAATTGTTAGTGGCACGGGCTTTTCTCGTAAGCATAGTTTTTGTATTGAGAATTTTGTTGACAAGGCCGAGAAGACCAGCCTCGAGGGGTCTCCAAGATCTCCCTAATAATTCTCCTATGGAACGTTCGTAGGCTTGGCAACCGATGAACGTTCCTACTATGAAGATCTTTCTTCAAAATTTTCTTCAGGCTAAGAGGCCAATCTTGGTCTCCCTTGCTGACAGATCAAGAAAATTGGAGATGGCAGTTGGTGTTTGGCTAGATTTGTTATGATGCTCAAAATACGTTCTTGACTCTGTACGAAGAACTATGATGCTTTCTTTAGATCATATTAGGCTTTCTTTGATAGTATCTGAGTAGTAATGGGATGTGTTCCAATGGTTTGCAGTTGGGTGATTGGCTGGATTTATTATGATACCCAAACTACGTTTTTGACTCTTAGAACTATGATGCTTTTTCTAGATCATAGGAGGACTTCTTTGACAGTACCTACGTAGTGATGGGATGTTGTTTTAATGGTTTTGTGGTTGGGGTTTAGGTTTGTTTGTTTCGTATAAGTTGTTTGACTCTTCTGTTTCATCAATAGCATGGGCGGTACTCTTTCCTACCCCCGCGATTTTGTTTCTCTAGGAAGGTTTTAACGAGACCGCCATTAACATGCTAGTTCTTACCATGTAATGTTCCTTTCGGTTTAATGAAATACTATCTTTTCTCAACAACAAAAAAATAGATAATAACGGAATCCACTTACAGAAGGAATATTACCATTGTATATTCAATTAAAAAATAAGAACAAAACAAGAACAGGGGAGTGGTAAAGAAAACAAATACCATTATAACTCTATAACAAATCCAATCGCCACACAGATACAAAGAATAAAAA